GGAGTGTCCTTGTCATGGGACGTGAGCATAGGCGTAGACATTCGCCCGCGCCACCTACTCCTGTTTAATCTGGGGGACGATGGGCGCGTAACATTTGTTTCCTAGCAAGGGACTTGAGCCCCACTGTCTAAGAGAATCACGTCTATAATAATAGCAGTGGAATTTGTGAAGTGTAGCCAGGCTCTTTCGCATAGACCCTGGAGGTCCTCTACTCACATCCTCTGTTAGGACTATAATCTAATTTCGAGCAACAAGCCTCTATGACTGGCTTTAGTTCATCAGGACCCCGCCAGAGCATCGAATCGGCTCGTGCGGAATTGTATTAAACAGGTGGTTCATCAGCTTTCCAACGGGTGCTAGATGCGACACCTTATCAGTGGATCTCCCCTGTACGACGTTGAGCTGGGAAGGAAAATGCTGGTGCTAGGGTAAGGGTTATCTTTAGTCAGCATGCGTGCATGACAATCGGCGGCCCAGTTATTCCTTTTTTTCTCCTCTCTCAAAGCATAAAACGGCGTCGTGGCACTCGAGAGGTCCGAATTGGGGAAATAAATGTGCAGGATTGAGCTAGACAATGACCCACCCACTATGACTGAGCTTGTGCCTGGCCGGAGGTGGATACTGAAACACAGCGAGGGCAGTTGCCAGGAGAAACGATGAGAACAGCACTCGCCCGTGCCCTTGTCACCGCGTACGAAATGTCGCACTTGTCTCAAGACGGCTATGCACAGAGATAATGGATGCGTGTCTTTGTGGGCTGTTCAAACAATCACTCGGACTCAAAGTGTTGTCATGGCTTTCACTATTTCCTTTTGACGGCTAACGTGCACAGCCCTGCATGGATAGCCGCTGCGCTGACGCTATGGTATGCTCTTACGTCAGCCTAGGCTTGGGAATCGTATCAGGTGTTGAGTATAGCAATTACTTGTGATGTCGGGTTGGATGGTACAGTGGTACACCATTCGGGCCGTTCTCTCACGTAGATACTGGGTAGCTTGAACACCAACCCCATATCAGATAGGAGAAGGCTGGTTAGAATCCAGCAGAACCCTTAATTCACACTCTCTCGCGGTGATATCGTATGTGTGAGTTGATGAAATCACACTCGGATAGCCGCGGGGTTTTCACGCTTTTTCCTGAGGTGGGTATGCACGAAAGGGGTCATACGCCGTAAGGGTTACCCTCGAGCGGTATCTGCAAATGAAATCTGAGCGTAAGTGTTCTAAACGTCAAGTTGAGTCATCCTTCTTGAAATACATATATTCCTATAAAACCTACATGGGCCTCAAGGCGCTAAATCAGGACTACTGAATAATTTTCTTATTCTACACCGGCCCGTCTCCCATTATCTACAATTAGCGATGAGCCGCGTCCTTTGCTTCGTCGTAATGGTTAGTTTACATATTAGTATTGCTAGATGTTAGAATAATTGGAGCTATCATGAAGGCCACGTGACTACAAATTCAGTACCTGCTTTCTCTTCGGCAGTAACTTGCAGGAATGCGACCCATAACCTCAACGACTGAGGGGCCATTCTTCCCCAAGTAACTATGATGCTGTTTGGGTTAAAAAACAGCCCACCACAGTGGTTTTCAGATTCTACAATTTCCCAAATCAGTTCACTGGGTGAAATGAAATAAAGCCTCACAGCTCAAAATTTTCTACAAAACTCCCACTCCAAAATTACAGTGCCTAAGCAGCGTTAGCCAGGTCGCAGTCCTTTCAAATATGCACATACTACCTACGGCCACACCTCTATGTCAACGATCAACGATCAACAATCACAATCAACACCAAAAATACTTAATGTCATTCCAATAAAGAGGCAGCTACAACTGGATTATGTCGACTCAAAGTATGCTCTGACCATATTATTATCCAAGCATCAGCATATAATCATGCTCTGGGCGCGAGGCTGAACACGCAGGTCAGCCCAAACGACCAATAGCGGGCAGACCCAAAACACGACTAGTAGCATTGTGCGCTGTGTGTGGGCTCGCGACAAGGGCGAGAGATCAAATCACAAGTCGTAGTGGATGAGCAAAGTCGCACGTTTCATTAGTCCTCACTGCTACTCTCAAGCCCCATGGTCGGGCCTTTAAAGTCTAGTACTGGGCCGCGTCATCTCCTTTCTCTATGCACTTCACCAGTCCGGGGCGAGAAGTTTCAATGGCTCATCTCAGTTTGATGAAACCTTGACCTCGGTTTGAACATGCTGGTCACATATAAGCATAGCCTAGAAGTATCTCTGTCATCGATAACCTAATTTAATTTATCATTGGCACAAGGCCGCTTCGACCACTTCTTCACCGGATTCTTTTGAGAAGCCAAAGAAACGGGCCGGCAGTATTTCAACTTCAGCATTAATGCTGCCTCGCCCTTCATACACTACATTCGTGGATAACCCGGCATTTACCTGGTAATACTCTCGACTATCTCCCTTTCTACCCTTCCTTTGATCTGGACTCCTGTTCGTCGAGCTTGTGGTTGTCTGTGGTTATCATGAACAGGCAATCACGGGAAGATGGGGACAAGATTCGGCAGAAATTGAATGTCAACATGATAAAAAAAGACCTGGCGGATAAAAAGTATATAAACCTTGAGAATTTCTCCCGGGAGTCAAAACTTCAGCTAATCCTGTTCCTTTATTCCGTTAATTTCCGTCTTTTCGCTATTTAAACCTGTCCTATGTCATAGATGCCTCTCAGAAGAAGTGCGAAAGAATCTTCTCATCATTCTTCGCCGGTCTCCTCGTCAATGGGATGGCTCTAGGTGTATGAATATTGCAGTTGAGCCTGTAAGGAGCTTTTGTAGTGGCCGCGCTGGCAACCAGAGCGAAACCATAGTCATCAGTGATGTGTGTTTATGTTTATTGTATTACTTGAGTCTATGACTATCTTGCATAGTCATCAGTGATCGTAGTTGACTCTGGGTTACAATAGTCGGGATAATTTCTCTTTGTATTTCTGCCGTAAGTTCCGAGAGCTCGAAGCTGGCACTCCCAATGCTCCCCTTGAAGGCCTGAAATTTCCCACCCGCTGCCACTAACGTTGCTCCTTTCATGGGAAACTCCCATTTCTGGTAAGCACCAGCGCACTCAATATGTCGGGCTGGCTTAGCCCACGAGGCCTACGTGTGTACCCATTAGCTACTATCACAAAGCTCTATTGTTTGTGCCATTGTCTCATCTCGCCACGCATTTAAGCGCCCACATCCGCCTTGTTGCCGCTCGGGGAGTTTTTAGATGCAATTTTTGAAAAGAAAATGCGATTCCCAAGGTAAATGGATGGGAAATCGGCGTGGAGCGTTGCATGGCATATTAGTAAAAATGAAATATTTTTAGAGTGACTATTGATCTTTATCCTACGTAGTCATAGACTTAGACAGGACAATAAAATGAATTAATTGCTCATCATTTCAACTCCATCTCGGATTAGAGATGATGAGCGCCCCACTCATCCTGAATATTCCGGTGCAGGAAGGGTTTGTTTATCCGCAATCTTCCCTAGCTCTAGCGCATATTGATAGCTCCAGGCGCTTGCCATCTCCCTTTGTCTTGGGAAGCTGGCCGAGGTTAATAAAAAATAGCCTATTTGCAGTAATCATAAAAGCAGATATTCAAAGCAACTTCCCAGTGCAGATTGAATTGGTCTTGTCGTCGAAATGCTCCCTGCCAGCAGCTTTCCAATGGTTGGGGTGCTTCTTTTGTAGCGTTGTAAACTGGGCGGATCCGGGTAGTACTGAGCAACAAGACTGTTCGCAATTCATGAGTCTCCTGAGTCCCTACCACGAGGAAGGCGGGAGACCCACAATTAGAAATGGAGTTCAGATCAAAGTTCAATTCAAAAGTAATAGTAATAGAAAATTCAGTATATGAGTGGACAATGACCTTTGATTGGCATCCACGAGGACGGCAGTCTGGATTCATTGCGGTTGTATACGGATAGTCAAGACTGCGTGATTACTGGATCGAATCTAGCAAATTTCCACCACACATCTCGCAGTGCGGGTGTGAATGGATGAGCAAGGCTTTGAAACGCCTCTTGGTGGGTACTCTCTGATTAGGGTTGACTGTTTGTATAGGCAAACATACCTCGGAGTAGTATTGACGAATTAAGTCTAGACTATGAATGTCTCCAACGTTGGGGGAATCACGCAACATCTACATAAGATAATGATCATTTTTCATAGCCAAATAGCTGAACACACAGATTGAATGACAAGCTAATGAACAAGACAATATGGAGAAGCTGTCAATCTCCATGACGGCTGTAGGTGAGTGAGCTAGGACGTGGCACGGTCGAGGTTGACGATGCAGAGCCGATTAGGTCTGTTGCGACGAGGGAGTCGGAGCGGCACGCGGCAGACGAGAATACAGGCTTCCACGTCCCTGATCAGCCATTTATGTCATCATGTCCTCTAGAGTTTGGTCTAGGCCTGTACAGTTCGGACCACGGCCATTGCATGTAAAGCGCCAATGGAATGGCTTGGCCTATCCACACCTCATGACTTTACTCCCCATGTCTGCCGCCACGACTTAACGCTGTTAGGAGCTTGGTCCATCTCAGCATCACTAGGACCGAGTGAATACTAATGCTACGAGAGAGATTGGCCTCTATTTCTACGTCGTAACGCCTATTCGGCCCCACTAAATCTCGAGCGTACACTCGAAACTCAAATTTCGGCCCTTATCTCTCCTTTGAGTTCCGGACGGGCTACACTGCTATTTGCATTCAAGATATGAGGTAGTATTCATGGAACCCTCACTAGCTCAGAGACCAACCTTGAGGGCCTTCCTCACTAGTCGCTTTCTAATAATAAATGATATACGTCACAAGCTTTGCAAAGGCAAGGATGCATGCGGCACTTCCACATTGCTCTCCCCGCCCGCGCCAATAATCAGGTAAGCACAAAGGCCCAGTCACGCCTTTTGCTCCTTAAAAGCCAGCTCAAGCATGCCCTTCAACCAACAACCACCATTAATCACATTCACATTCATTATGAAGCTCATTAGCCTAACGCTGACCTTGGCTGTGGCATCTGCAACCATTGCTGGCCAGCAACAGGTGTTACAGAAGCCCCTAGAGCTTGCTAACGCATGGGTAGAATCTGCGCAAGACTCGCTGGATGAGATAGCTGGTGAAGCAACTTCCCTACTGGATGAATTTTCAGACTTCTTTGATTCACCCAAACCATTAACTTCTCCAAAACCCAACACCAGAAAGCCCGACAATGTCTGGGACTACGTTATCAGAGGTGCAGATATCGAAGATAGCTGTTCTGAGTTCTCCGAAAAACAAGCTGAAGAAGAGGATGACACAGATGGAAATCTTAGCTCTTACAGCCTTCGCACCAAGAACGTCGACCCTCTCAAGCTCGGCATTGACAAAGTGAAACAATACAGCGGGTATCTAGATGATGACGAAAATGATAAACATCTCTTTTACTGTACATTTCTCCTTCAACTATCGATGCGAGCTAAGATTCCCAGGGTTTTTTGAGTCCCGAAACGATCCCGAGAACGACCCAGTCATCTTGTGGCTCAACGGTAAGGATAAAACAGTGTATAGTGATAAAATAGGAATCAGGCTAAATCTATTCAGGCGGCCCTGGATGTTCGTCATTAACTGGATTATTCTTTGAGCTCGGCCCGGCCTCAATCGATAAAAACTTGAAGGTGGTCAATAACCCTTATTCCTGGAACTCGAACGCATCAGTTATTTTCCTTGACCAACCTGTTAATGTCGGATACTCGTACAGCGGCGATTCCGTCAGCACAACCGTCGCAGCAAGCAAAGATATATACGCCCTCCTCACTCTATTCTTTGTGCAATTTCCACAATACGCTACTCAGGACTTTCACATTGCCGGAGAATCATATGCAGGCCATTACATTCCTGTGTTCGCTTCCGAGATCCTCTCTCACAAAGATCGGAACATTAACCTAAAGTCGGTTCTAATTGGAAACGGCCTCACTGATGCTCTAACTCAATATGAATACTACAGGCCAATGGCTTGTGGCCAGGGTGGTCTGCCATCGGCACTTAGTCATAGTGAATGCCAGGCAATGGATGATGCACTTCCACGCTGCCAACGTTTGATACAAACCTGTTATGACTATGAAAGCGCATGGGCTTGTGTTCCTGCGAGCATCTACTGCAATAATGTCATGATGGGCCCATTTCAAAAGACTGGCTTAGTAAGTTCTAAACTGCGAGGAAACTAGAAGTTACGCTAAACTTCACAACAGAACGTATACGATATGCGTATTCCATGCGACGACGAAGAAAACTTATGTTACACCGGTCTGAGCTGGGTCAGCCAATTCCTCAATCAGGAACATGTAATGCGGGAATTGGGAGTTGAGGTGTCGAGTTTTGAGAGCTGTAACCTTGACATCAATCGTAACTTTTTGTTCCATGGAGACTGGATGCGACCATTTCACCTTAAAGTTCCCGATATACTCAAAGAGATCCCCGTGTTAATTTACGCTGGAGACGCAGATTTTATCTGCAATTGGCTCGGAAACCAGGCCTGGACTGAGGCACTTGAGTGGCCGGGCCAAGCCGAGTTTCAAAAGGCTCAGCGAGAATATATCAAGCTCCCGGATGGGTCTAATTACGGAAAGATAAAGAGCAGCGGCAACTTTACCTTCTTGCGGGTTTATGGCGCCGGGTAAGAACCCTTTTATTCTTTGATAATTTAACTGCTAATCACGGTAATAGACACATGGTCCCTTACAACCAACCGGTTGCATCACTCGACTTTGTTAATCGATGGATCAGCGGAGAGTGGTTCGAACAGGCTTAAGTGAAGATGTATATCCATTAAGTGATCTTCGTCCACCAACAAGCGAGCGTGAGTGAGAAGTAGCACAGTCTTTGAAATTATTCTTTTTAATATTCCACCTAAACATGGACCAGAGCGTGACTGCTTGACTTCTTTGTCGTTATCGCTATTCCTGCTGAGGCTATTCTGAAGCTAGTAATTCATGCATAGCGAATTTTATAAAGTTACTTTTGATTTAATTTAAACATGAACAAGGCACATCGTTTGAATCCAAGATTTGCTGCGGACTTGTGAACTCGCTCCAAGACCTCAACCTATCATCGAATATTAATAACTATCAATCGCACCCAGAATTCCCTGCATACCATGATGAAATTTGGCAAAATTGGATTCGGATAGAGGATCAGATTAATCTTCAGTACACGAATTTTTTTATCTAGCACGTTCGGGTCACTTTAGATTTCACCATGTGCTGGATTATGCCTATCCCGACCGTTCGTATAACCCGGCCTACACGCACCAATGCGCAAATTTTTCATCTTTCACCACGCGCCCGAGCCCTCGACATCCCCACGCTAATGGCCTTCTTTACCCCTTCTAACCTCGGCTACACTTCGTATCATCATTTCTTCATCTCATCCAGTCTCCAGTGGAGCCATAATTTTAGAAGCTCCCTAGTCTTTCTTCAATTGTAGATTCAATTATATTAATCTAACAACATTGCCGTTTAAGTAACTGGGAAAACTATTATTCCCCTTGGCTTTGACCCACCGCAGCTGCATACCTCAACGTAGAGGTCTGTCGCCGGATCAGTTCATGATGGTGTAAAGCCGAGCAGGTTGGGATTTTAATCAGCAACTTGCATACACATAAACGATGGTTCGTACATCTTTCTATATACATAAGGGAATGTAATGCATTTCAAATGAAAAGGCGGGAAAGACAGGAATGAGCCAAAGAGGAATACCCTCCAGTATCCAAAGACACCTGAGCAGGGCCCAGAGCATCATAGCTATGCAGACAAGAAGCGAACATATTGGGTTCAATTCCTGTCTGCATAGAAGAAAAGGTCCAGGATTAGATAATCCACGATGCCAATGTAGATGTCCGTCCCAGAATGTGAAGCACATGATCATGGCCTGCACCAGCTGGGCCAAAGGTAGAAGAGGAATACTGAGAAAGGCAGAGAACCGGTCATTTGAGGCCATTATGACCAATCCCAAAGATACTGGAAGGATAACTAGGTGGATCCAGCAGGAAAGAAGGCTAGAGCAGCTTCGACTGAAGCTTGAAGTCGAGGCCTCGACGAGGGAGAGGGAAGAGAAGGGGAAAGATGATCTCCTGCCAGTAACAACGTAGTGGACGATATCCGCACTGGATCAGACGAGATTTTATTTATTTTATAGTCCTAATTGAGTCAATGACTATAGAGGACTCCTAGAATCTATATAGAAGATACTAGCTATATTTTTTCCTTTCCAGTTTTACCAACTTCAACCATATTCTCATGGATAGTGAGGGTAAAGCCCTATATCCGCACTGGACATAACAGTGTTAGTGCACTTCTTAAATGTAACACAACTTTAAATTGTATACAGATTGAAAAGTTAATGGTAGTTGTTTCATGTAGGATTCCTTCTAGGTAAATATTAGAGTTCGTAGAGACCTGTATGGGCCACAAGGCGCCAAATCGGGCTAAATGGAATCAAATTCAAAAAGGGAATGTAATTAACGACGCCGATCATAGCAGTCTCCGTTGCTTAGCAACCGTTTCCAATCTACAGTTCCCCTGGGATATAAAAGGTAAAACTTCAAACTGACTTTGAATTTCATTATACTATCCTGATTTGGCGCCCTATTGGGCCCATGCAGGTGTCTACAGTCTATAATATTTACCCGGGAGGAACCCTTAATGGTGAAAACCTCCCACACCTTTCTATTTGGTGTCAATAGTTAGCACATATATTCTTCAGGAAGCGCAGTTACACTATAGTGCCATCCATGTAAACTAACCAGATCATCTCTATCCTCCCCAAGCATCATTTGACCTTTTCCTTTCCCTCAGCAGTATTTCGGGCGCTTTTGTCATCTGGAATTGCTCTATCTAACCATGGTTTAGGATCCACTGTGTTATCCTTTTTACATCTCCAGGATTGATTATCATCGCCTTGTAGGATCGATCTTTGGCCTGTCTCCGGATCTCACCTCTTACATTTGACCATCGGGGGCGGGACATAATCATATGCTTGGAGTTCTGTGATTGACAGCCGCATGGACAACCTGGACTTAATACTCCGGGTACTTTTCTTCTGTGTAAATACGAGTTAAGCCCCATGTGCTCACTTCGTATTTGCACTGCCAAACTGCTTTGCGCCCTTGTCAGGTTACGGTGTAGGATGAATGGTGAGCCTTGAATACTCAGTTTTTGCCGTCCAGACTCTCTATTCTGGTAAAATGTGGCCGCTCTCCAAGTTTCGGAATCTGCCGTTGCTAGCTGCCGAGGCGTCTGAGTTTTTTTCTGCTTGGTTCAAACTGGGTTGTTTAGGGGATAAGCCCTGTAGGCTCAGTTGGGCTAGCTCGCAATAGGTTAGACAGTCTCTTGTCATTACCCCGCTCGCCATGAAGTGTGGTCCAATCGTCTTTTTCCAGCAACCGGTTAGGAAAACACATTTTCAACGACACTTTTGGTTGCCTAAATCCGCCTGGGATACAGGAATTGATGTCCTACTCATCCAGGAACCCTGGACTCAACACAAGGACGGCTTCTTGCTCACCAAGTCGCATCCCGAGTTCGAAAAGCACTTGCCCCCCCCATGTCACAGCCAACCCCGCAAGGCCACGCTCCCTCATCTACACGCGAAAGAGGATCAACTGCCAACAGCAAGCAATCTGCGAGACATCACCAGATCTCACTGCAGTAAAGGTAGGAGTCACATTTGTCTCCGTATACCGCGCTCCTGGAGCAGACCTTTCGCCGCTCCTATCATGGGCCCCGTCTGGGCCCACAGTAGTTGGCGGAGATTTCAATGCCGTCCACCCTGACTGGCAGCCCATGGCCACAGGCTACACGGTGACGGCCAAGTGCTCGCCAAATGGATGTCCGAGCACGGCATGGACCTATCTTCGACCCCGGGCGTCTCGACTCACGATCTTGGAAACACACTCGACCTTGTTTGGTCTAACGCAGGAGCCCTTGCAGACGTCTCCATAGAGCTTGACTCGACATCGGACCACAGAACTCTTGCAGGAGACGTCCCCCGTCCGAACTCGAAAGCTAGAGCTGTTATCAAAATAGGCCAACCGTTTCGAGTGACAGACGATGCCCTCGAAGACTTTGCAAAGGTGCCAGGTCGTTGGGCTCAAGGAATAGAGCTATAGCCGATGGTTTCAGTAGACGCGGTGGACAACCTTGCTGATAAGCTGTGTTACGGTTTGACCGTTGTTTTAGCTTAGGAGGAAACCTAAGCGTTTAATTAGGAATAATTACGATAAGACTGAAAGAGGAAGGATGGGCAAATAGAGATGAAATAGCACTACTAGCCAGGAGGTCGAAGCAACATCATAGCGTAATGGCTCCTGATAATACTTGGCTCAGTAGCAAGTATTAGGCCTAGGGGGAAGTTATCAGTCAGCAGATTCACGAAGCGGACCAAACGTTATAAGTACTGTTAGTAGTAGCTAGAGATTTCTTTTCTCTTCATATAGTTTAATAAATCGATTTATTCATTACCAACTCGGTTTCCGTCACAAGCTGGTCCAAACTATTAGCAACGCAATCAGGGCCACTGGTAGACGCGGGAGTGTGAAGAAGGGTAGGACAGCACCTTGGTGGACGTCGGAGTGCCTACAGGCCAAACGCGAATACAGGATATTCAGGGACGAAGAGAGCAGAAAGGATTTCCGTCGCATAGTCAAAAGTGCCAAACGGCAATACTGGCGGCGAAATTCTCCGAAGCAACAACCGACGTCGACATGTATCGGATGGCACGCTGGGCTAAGCCGCAACCTACATCAGCTGCTCCACCACTCCAAACTCCAGATAGTCTTGTTTCGGATCCAGGAAAGCGAGCAACTCTGTTGCGCGACCTCCTTCTCGGCCGGTTCACCAGTCAGAACGACGTCGACGCTGAGGACTTCGAGCCAGGACGCGGAAACCTCCCATGGGTCTCGAGCGTTACGGACGAGGAAGCCAAGTGGGTTACAACGGCCTGCCAACATAAAGTCCCTGGAGCAGACGCGATTTCTGTTCGTCTTCTTAGGACAGCCTGGCCGTCAATTGGACAAGTGTTGTGCTGGCTCGGTTGAGTTGTTAGGAGACAGGGGAACGGAGGACGGGCTGCTGGATTAGGAAAGGGTGGAAAATACAGGCTGGTGCACAAACGCTGTTCATATACTCTACAATCTCTTCACCCGCCGAGTTTAGTGAATCAATCTATCCATATAATATCATACTTCACATCATCCATTAGATGATATTATCAATCGTCGGGATGCAAATCTAGCATCATCTTCATAGATCACCATCGTCAGTAAGAGTTCACATTTGATACCTACTGACACCCATTTGGCCACAGTGATACGCACTCAGTGTTCATCGTGCCATCACCCAGCGTGAGCGCGCCATCTCCGCGACTCACCATTGCATATGAGCCCGTGTAACTCCACCGACGGACAGCTGAGACATAATTGCTATATACCTCACAGCTCATAACCACAACAACAAGCAGTGAGAGTACTCTTTGAGGGCTCACTTCGACTGAACCACTTCCCGAAGGCATTCAAGCTAGCGGAAGTAATTCTTCTCCACAAACCTGGCCATAATCTCAGTACAGCTAAAGGATGGAGACCTATCGCACTGCTATCTTCTCTCGGCAAAGGTCTTGAGAGACTAGTCGCAAGGCGCATGGCTTACACCGCCATTTCGTACAAGGCCGTGCCGCAGCAGCTTTTTGGAGCACTCTCCGGCAGATCAGCTAATTACCTTATTCATGCGTCATCCACAATGTAGAACATGCAATGAA